CTCTGGCCCCCACCAACAAGAGATTTCAACTACTCTTTACATTTAATGTTCTAAAACTGACTATTGTACAGGCTCTGGGAAGGTATTTGCTGCGCCAAGAGTATTCGGGGCATTTATATTGAGAACTTCATAAAATCTTTTGTCTGTGCTGAATTAGAGACCCCTGCTGAGGCAACGCTTGTTCAGGCAAGCTAAATTACATGATTTGCTTTTGTGCTGTGAAATACTTGTATTATCTTAAAAGTCACGAGCCTGATGCAGTATCAAGTCACAGGATTTGTAATTTTCTAAAGGCAATTTTTTTCTAAATGTTTATTGCAGGAAGACACTCCTCTTTTCTTTCTATTTTCTTTCTGTCTAATTTCAGAGATGAAACAACTCAAATAAACAGCCTTTCAATCAGTCAAGTGCACTATCCTGACAGTGAACTTCTCTAGAAATGCATTTTTCTCGTGAATTGAAAAGAATTCACACTGGAGCAGATAGCTGGCTTTCTCTCATTCATTATCTTTAATGTATTGTGCCAAACAGAATTGCTGCCAACTGTACTTCTTGGTGGGGTTACAGCTATACAGGAACAAACTGAAGGGCAAAATTTGCCTTGCGAGATATGCCATAACTCTCTTTGGAAAGCCAAGTGCAAATAAATTAAAACGTATTTTAAAAAGAATGTCCCACTTTGCATAACAAACAAGGAATTCCTCATTCTGTTTAGCTTAGTATTCTATACTGCCACGGGTTGATTCCTTTCTTTTCCCACCCAATTTTAGACCAGAAAATTACATTTTGAGGGGAAACGTGATCTGTGAAGTGATATAAGCAGTGATTGCATTTAAACTTTTTTTTTTAACCTATCTGCACCTGATCAAATCTGAAACAAACCAGTTCAGCAAAGCTTATGTTATTTTTTGTTTTATGTTCTCTTATAGTACATGCTTTAATTGTCTTGTCAATAAAAATTGTAAACATGAGTAATACTGAATGGATGGCAAAAGGTGGGAGAAGAGAGAAAGAAGGACAAGAAAAGCCCAGAAAGAGTAACCCCAGTGGGCAACACAGGCTCCTGCCAGGGCTGCTTCTGCAGAGGTCACAGTTCCTACTTAAATATCTCTCCCACATTATCCCATTGAGTTCAGGATGAAGGCCCCTCAAAAATGAGGTCCTGGTATCAGCTGCATCCAGCATCTAGTGAAACTGTTCTTTATAAAAGAAATATGATTTTTGCTATGCATTAGATTGTCCATTTTATTTGAAGGCACCATAAGGTTGAAAGTGAAATCTAGTTAAACATATGCAATTTATCAAGATTGTTCTCAGATACAAGAAAGATTTTTCAATTTAGGAGCAAATGATTATAAAATAGTTATTGTAAAAAGATGAGTATAAACAGCCACTGTAGTGATTTCCTTATGCAATATATCAAAAGAAATATGAACTTGAAAAATACCTTCTCCCACTCCTCAAAATATAATTTCTAATCCCTTAATTTCCCATAATAAAACCATGATGAATTATATGGGTTATATGTGTCTATTGAGGGGATTATACATTGTAATCACAATTATAGGTCTAAAAATCATAGCTATTTCTAATCCTTCCAAAAGATGCTTAATAACCATTAGACTACTGAGGGGCTGATTAAGGAAAGGGATTAGATTTAGAAGTGGTCACAGTGCATAAGTTATGTAATCCAGAGATGTTTTGGAAAACAGAAGCGTTTTCCAATTTATAAAGATCTTAAAAGTCAGCCAATGCCAGAAATCCCTTTGCTTTCAGTTCGGCTTCCTCCCTAAAGATAAATAAATGAATACACAGAGAATTAAGAGCCTTTCAGGTTTTTACGGGAAAGTAGCCTATGCACCCTAGTGACCCTAAACAGGCCCATAATGAAGACACAGTTCAACTCATATCTACATTTGGTATGTGATGGTAAGCACAAAACCAGGTGAATGTCCCAGTGCTACCCTGGATCATGCACAGCTCTACTTGAACAGCTCTACAAAGAGAAAACACCTTTGGACACTCTCTGCTCTAGAATCCTGTTTTATTTATGTGAGTAATAGACACTGACATCTCATTTAAAATGAAGATTTGTAAGTCTCAACAAGACAGCGACAGATCTGCCCCTTCTAGGAATAAACCAACTGCAGGGCATTAATCTAAAGTTGAAAGAAAGTATTAAGTATAATCTTTCATTTTGCTCATTTTGAACTATGGTATGGAGTTTGCACTGTGGCAGCTAATAAGACAAAAGAGGACAAATGGGAATCCCTTTGGAGTCAGTAGCAATGCTCTTCCTGACATCCATGAAATGACGACTTGGCCCAAGGCCTTTGAATCTGATTGTAAGATATAATTGCAATAAGAATGGCTGAGCAGCAAAAGAGCTCCAAAATACGTTAAAACTGCTGCTGCACAGGGAGGAATGGAAGACAGATAATGATAGCTCCATTTCAGTGAAGCAACTGTATTTTAACAACATGAATAGATTGACAGAAAGGAAGGGGGTTCAGATGACCAGATAAGGATCTCATTTAGGAAAAAAAAAAAAAAAAAAAATTACCTATTCCACTGCCTTTCAAAAGAAACACTGGCATCTTCAGTGCTGCTCCAGAACTACCTGCTTGTGTTAACAGCAAAGTTGGTGATGGAGCAGGAAATGAGTTCAACATTTTGCTGCAAATAAACTCTGTTCAGAGTTTCAGATGATAAGAGTGACTGAGAGGAGAGGCGATTTCTTTAGCTCTCAATAATCTTGCATGTTGTGTGAAACTTGGGGTTCAGGTAACTAGCTGAATCTTTACCCTTGATTCCCATACGACCTTTTCCAGCTTTGTCTAATGAGAAAACTTTATTTTATCTCTTCATTCCCATAGGCGGTCATAATTAAAGGTGCAGCCTGAAGCACAGAGCACACATCCCTTTCTCTCCACGCCGGCACACTCCTGTGGTCTCCCCTATGCTACCATCAATAAACATATAGGCCATATGACATGTTCCTGGCCAGATACATAGTGAAACAGACATACAAGGAGTAGTACAGCTACAGATTAATTTCTGCCTTTAGCTTAAGACCCCCACATGAAAATGTGTGAGTCAAATCAGCTTCTCAGGTTGTTTGGACTTTGGAACAGGCACAGATTTTCAAACCACCTACACTCCAAGAAGCAAGGAGTAGTAATGTCTCTGGAAAAAAAAATACTTCAATCTGCAAGTGTTGAGAATGTCTGCAGAGTTCTCCCCTCAATCTTGATAGCCTCCAGCTAGACCATTTTTCTCCCAGGTACGACAATGGGAAACCAGAAACCATGCACCCTGCATAGTAATGCTGCTTAATATTATATGTCTGTTGCATGGCATATTTATTCAACATATTCTATGTATTCTTTGACTTTGATGAACTGCTATTTGCCTTCCACAAGCTAATATTTCTGCAATTTTAAATTGGGATGAACAGCTGAATGGTCTCACTGGTCATTTTTTCCCCCAATTTGCTTTCTGTTTTACAACTTCAGACTATTGTCTTGGATAGGTAAGTAAACATTTTATTCCAGTATTTCTAACGTTTTCCAAACTCATTCCTTGAGGAAAATTTGATGACACACCCATTTTCAAATTTTCCTTTATAATCTTCACAGCCTGTAAAAATGGCAAACCTAAGTGCTTCAACTCTTAGTTTCTTACACTGCATATTAACACAGGTTTAGTGTTTTGTTGTACAGTTAAATGCTAACTAATGTAATTCAGCAGTTAGATTCTGCTCTTTATAATTCAGTAACAACAATAGAGACAGTTCTAGTTTTTTGAAAATTCATCAGCTAGAGCAGTTTTAAAAAAACTTCTGTAAGCACCGATCACATGTAAACCCAAGGAACTAAAAGAGGGTTTACAGATGAAAACTAGTGAATGATATTTGGATGTGGTTAATATCATGTAATCAAAATCAAATATACCCACTTCTTAGTTTGGGACTTACAAAAAAAAAAAATTACTACACCCTGAAATTGTATATAAAATTAAAAGCATTCATCTTAATGATAATTTTACTCTCAAAACAGCCATTCAAATAGGCCAAATGTTTCTTTGCAGTTTTAGGCAATACCATAAAACATTTATTAACGAGCAAACAACAGATGTGCTCTTTACATTAACTACTGGCCAAAGAAATGTGACAGTCTCAAGGAATAAAGCTGAGTCTGATGTTTGGTTTCTAACGAAGAGCAGAAGCATGTGAAAAAGAATCTATGTGACTTACTAAAGACATTATAATGAAAGGAATAAGAAATCTTCAAATGAAGGAGACAGATTAAGCAATCCTGTTTAGATGGCACAATGTCTCAGAACTGCTTTCAGCCCAGCATAGCCCAATACACAACGGAAAAGCTCCTCAAAACGAGCACAGAATAAAGCTACCTTTGAAGGTAAACACAGAACACAAATTCTGTACTGTAACAGGGATACACTTGAGAAAGGATGGGGAAAGTTGAACAGGGGTGTCAGAGCCTCGCCATACACCACCGCTCAGGGCAGCTCACTCAGCCCTTTAACGCCAGGCACATGAAGTGTGCAATGTGACAGCTAACTACAAGCACTTACACAGGTTGTGTACACAAGAGCACGACCCTGGCATCCAGCATAGAGCTGCAAACGTGTTGCTAAATATCCTGCTCAATCAGCTGCTGCCTCCTGCACAGGGGCACAGTAAGCTGCTTTGAAATTCACGCGCACCGGGAGCCCGCAGGAGAAGGTTCTGGTCTGCTGGGCCACGCTCTCCACACTGGACTTTGGTGGGACCCAGCCTGCCTGTCTGCTCCCGGCGCGAGCATCATGGGTCCCTGCAGGCCACAGCTCGCTCCGTCTCACTTTTTTTCAAAAGAAATGTAACAGCAACGCTCGACAACAACGACGGCCCAAGTCTTTTGGAAGGAAAATGACTCAAGAAGGAAGTACATACAACCCTCTGTTCTTCAGGGACTGGGAATTGAAAGATTTTTGCTCACCTCCCTCATTATCCTTGTTATCGGCACAGGCGGTTTCCATGGCAACGTTGCATCCAGGCCCCCTCCAGCCGGTCTGGCAGACACACTGCCAGCTGTTCTGACCCAGCGTGCATCGCCCGTTGCCATTGCACAAGTCGGGGCAGCCATCTGGTTGAAGAAATGGAGAAGGTAAGTACAAGACACGCTCATTCACGCTGCCGCTCAGACTTGCGACTGTATTACTGTGCAGACAAAAAGACTCGTTCCTGCTGGCGGGACAAACGCTCTCCTGGCCCAGAGCCACAGCCCGGGGGTGGAAAAGGAGGGTGAAGAAAGGGGACACCTCAGGGAAACGAGGACTTGACTCAAGCCAAAAGGCAGTAGGAGTCCTACCATCAGCCCTAATACATGTTTTAAGAACCCTGTAAAGGTTCAGATCTTAAGTTGACAGAAATTACATCTGCTGACGGAAGATCACAGCCTCTTATTTTTCCCCGTGTATGTGTGCACATACATGAGGGAGAACATCTTCTTCAACAAGCACATCAACATTCAGTGTGCCTTTTATATTGTGCACTGCATAATTCTCCAAAGCTTCTCTAAGCATAAAGTTTAAATAAAAAGTTTTGAAAATATTTTCCTTCTTTTAACAATCATTTTAAAAGATCTACTTATTTAACACTAAGTTTGCTTATATTATGAGGTAACATTTCATGCCTTTTGAAAGACAGGTTAGAAGGGATAGTCCACAAAAGATATGTTTCAAATTTATTATGGATCTGACATGACTTGTTGTACAGCAAGAGCTGAATTTGGAACAAAAAATAATTACCTAAGGTGCTTATATGTTCTAACAAAATGTCTACAGGTAACAGAATACCTCAACTGCTTTTTCCTCAAATCAGATGAGTCTCAGGAGACACTACTCCATCTTCCTGAATATTCAATATGAATAAAGGTAAGGAAACCAAATTCCAGTCTTAGTATATACAATCAAATCTACCAACACCCAATCCACACAAGTATGAATATTTGTCTGTGGAGGTGGCAGAAGATTTGAGAGTCCTGAAGCAGAGCTCTCATAGCACCTTTTTCTTAGTCTTAGCAGGAGCAAAAGGTTGTGTTACAACATTGACAACAGCTGCTGGATCCCAATCATTCATAAGTTCTCTTATTTGGGTTGGACATAGTAATGCCACCTCTACAACCACCAGAGAATATGGAATAAACAATCTCATTGCCATTGGTCTTGGGCAGAAAGTTTGATCTCAAGACAGCTCACAAGCCTCCATGCTCTCTCATCTTCTCCTCCACCAGCTGTGATAGATCAGCAGCAGAATTGAGATCTGCAGGGACCTACTGCAGTCCTCTCAGGTCTCACCAACCAGCTGCATTACTCCTTTGCATTTGCCACCACGACCACAAGCTGTGCCAATGAAGTACTCCACTCCCCTCCCCCAGGCATTGAAAGAGCACCAAGGCACTAATGGGCACCCTGCCAGAGCGCAGATACTCTTTTCACCACCTGTGAGTGAGGAAAGCAACAGTGGGAAATAGCCAAGAAGCAAATAAATGTCTTCTTCAAGCAGCACCACTTCAGGTGTGCAGCACTGGAGAAGAACTCAGATGATATATGTCACCTTTGTGCCCCTTGGCCTCTGCAGGTGACCAGGAATAGGAGCAACAGTCAAACAACAGCTTTCCAACTAGTGCTAAGAGGTTGAACAGCCACAGAGAAATCACCAAATTAGACTGCCCGTGTGTTTCTGTAGAGCTGTTCAAAAGGCCACAGCTCTGACTTTGTGTCTCTTCCTACCCCTCCCAGCTGCAGGTGATGTTGAGAAGCTCCTCTCACCCCACCCTGGTTTTCATACTGCTGCAGGAGTTTCCCATGAGGGACAACGAGCTGCTTTGGGTCCCTGCAGTTCACACAACTGGTATCCCTGTAAGTAAGCATTCACTTCTACTTTTCCTCACTGAGTTGTTAGCTGATACAATCATACTCATCATTTTTTAATAGTAGTCTACAGTCACATTAATTTTGCATGCAACTCTGAATGTTTCCTTTACTATTTAAAAAAAAAAAAAAAAAAAAGAATGCTGGGCCTGTGGAAGGTGCTGGACTGAGACCTCTGAGACCTCATCTGGCCCACAGAAAATGTTCTTCAGCAACCCAAGTTTCTGTATGTTGTCCCACCAAGTGCCTGAACCTGCATCATTCCTAGCACTGGCAGAGCAGCCTGGTTTCCACCAAAGCTCTGCAGAGCAAGACACCAGACCTCTCTCTGTGGACCGGGCCAAGCCCAGTCAACTCATTTTACACAAATAGCTACCAGTGGATAGGACCAAGTCCTAGAAATTTAATTTCAATGCTTTTGTATACTAAAAAAAATACAGTGCACAGTTATGTTGGCATTACATATCTTTGTTATAAAAAAATTGCAGTTACTTTGCAGCATTTTCAAGGCATTTGTTTCATCTCTTTGTCAGGTTGTTTGAATGACCGAAATGACAGTGTTTGAGGGGAGGCATCATACTGTAGGACAAATTATTTGTTTAAATGAAAAACAAACAGTAATTGTGAATATACACACACGGTTAGCTTTAAACTGAGGCACTGGAGAGAATGAAATCACTGAGGCAGTTTGCTTTGCAGCATATGAGCAAGATGAAAACATGAACAGTGGGGAGCTAACAAAACCTCTGAAAAGTTTTATGTGCAGCTGGAGATTAATGGACATGACTTTGCGTTTAGCTTAAAGAGAGAAGCAGGCATCACTGGTATAGACATGGTGTTGCTAGGAAACACTACGCACCTCTACAGGGTTTATTTAACTGTGGCCTTCCAAAGGCAGACTTTGTTTCAGTAACATAACTATTATAAGGGAAAAAAACCAGCAGTAGACTACAATAAGATCCAAGCACCTTGACAATGATGTCTTCCTTCAGAGATCATAGAATCATAGAATCCTTTAGGTCGATTAAGTTAAGGATGTATTAACTTTCAAAAAAGCTTTAAGTAATGATTATATATAAGTTTAGATATTATATATAAATTTAGATATTTTCTATGGTTATGTGCATTTCTATACCTGTGTGTCTATTTCTGCTTATGCCTTTCTTCAAGCAAATATTTACACAGTGTTATAGCCTGTTTGACCAAAATTTGTTCTAACAGCCTGTTGACCAGCTAGACAACAGAGCTTTATCATGATCTATTAACAACATGTTTCCTTCTATATTTGCAGTGCACTGAATCTCTCTATTTAAATCTCCCCACAATTGCCTGTGTGCAGTGATAGTACCGACGAACACCCTCTGCACACACAGCATCTGTACGTGGCTGATGGGCTCTGATGCCTTTCACTGGGTTTTGACAGTGGACAGGGTCACAAAGTGCCTAACTGAGGAGCCTTTGGGCTCTCAGCAAAGCTCAGTGCTCACAGGTGGACACAGGGTCTTTGCTGGAAAGGCAGGCTGTAGGAAGCACACCTCCACACCAAGTGCCTTGTTAAAGCTTGCTTTCATTCTGCAGTCCTAGCTCAAACCCAGCACTGTTATTACCTCCTGGCTGTCTTACCAACTCACTCACAGAGCCAGGTAGTCAAAGAGAGAGTAAGGTAGTCACAGAGGGAAGGGCTATCAACACCTAGCCTTAAGGAGTAATCCACCGTGGTACAAAGTCCTCAGTCACAGCACAGAAAAACTGCCTTTCATCCGGACATGCTGCTAGTCCTGGAGAGAGAGAAATTCTGTGCATCTTTTCTATTACAGTATGCTTAATAGAAAATGTCAAAAAACTAGGTTGAAAAAGAAGAAAGTGCTTGTTTAAAGTGCTAGACTGACAACCTATTTATTCACACAACAGGCAGAGTACGGGCAACAGCAGTTCAAGTGTCTCCCACCTTTCTATCAGTCTCTGCAGAGGCTGCTGCTGCTAGAGCTGAAATGCCCCTGCAGCCTCCCTCCTCCTGCAGGCTCCAGCCTGCCTGTGGGACGGGCAACCAGGACCTCTAAAACAGGTACAGAAGCATTTGCAAATAAAACAGCCAGAAAGATGTCAGTGCTTTTTGCAAGGTAGTGTCAGCAATCTGTGACTTGCACTGTGAGGGATCATCAGTCAGAGGAGGTTTCAAAATTGAAATACTTCAATTCATTCCTCTCCGTACCACAAGCAAGGTGCCCAGCATGCATGTAAAGTGAATGCTGGAAGGCAGCAGTAAAGAAAGGAGAAAATAAACACATTCTATCTCTGGATCTAATGGAGAATGATGTAAACTGCAGGTTTGTACAACAGGAGATCCCAAAACACTTATTAGCATTCTCACCGAACAAAACAATATTTATAAACTTGCAATCCTGGAACGCTAGCACTAGCATTTAATGCCTGAATTGATTTCCTATCAGGTTTCTTCCCTCCCCCCCCCAACTACTTAACTAAGTTTGAGTAACAGAACAAATTCATTGATGATTTCACAGTGTTCTGTGCTTCTCATTGTAGAAACAAGCTGCTACATTCTTAACTTGCTCATAGTTTAAAGCCCATTCCTTGGCAAGTAAATATCATACCACAACTCTAAAATTTGGTAAGCAGATTCAGAAAATGTATCTGTTGCAGTGCTTGGGGACACTTGCCTCCTATATACCTACACCCTTTCTTGGTACTTGAAAGCCCTTCACCTACATTTCCTCAGCTTACCCATTCCAACACACATACGATGATAGTATGTTAAAATGAAAGAAACTTTGGTAATACATAGCACAAAAGAATATTCAATAACAACATCAGAACATGGTGACTTAAGAAGAAAAAAAGTGTGCTTGCTTTGCCATAAAATCAAGTTCCTTCTTCTAGGAATGAATTCCGTCTCTTGACCCTACCTATAACCCAGAGGAAGAGGATCTACAATGGATACTAAGTAAATAATGTAGTATCAAAACAGGACACTATTTAACAAAACACTATGAGAACTGAGAACATGTCAATATGATGAGTACTTAGTCAACTACTACTATATATATGTACAATTTTAAATTCATCTTAATTCACACTATTAATATTCCTGGAGAAAAGGGATCAAAAACCTTGTTCTCACTAACAGGGAAGGGCTGGTGACCAATGTGAGGCTCAGGGACAGCCTTGGCTGCAGCGACCATGAAGCAGTTGAATTTAAGATCCTCAGGGCAGCTAGAAGAATGTATTCTAAGCTTACGACCCTGGACTTCAGGCGTGCAGACTTTGATCGCCTCAGGGCCAAAGTCTCGTGGGTGAAGGCCTAGAGGGAAGAGGCGCCCAGGACAGCTGGTCAGTATTCAAG